ACTGTATGCATCTTTAACATTAGCATACAGCAGGTCAGTGGTTCTCTCCTCTCTCATGGGACAGTTCACATACTGGGTTAAGGTAGGGAATGTTGTGTGCATGGCGATATGATTGAAATCACCCGAGATGGCAATGAATGCACTGGGTGTTAAGTCTGTAGACGGGCTATAGCTGAGTGGATGGAGTCACTCACCAAAGGCGGGTTTGCAGAGGGGGGACATAAACAGCCACCATGATTACCAGTGTGAATGTCTTGGACAGATTGTAAGGTTATAATCCTACTGCACAAAGTTCAATGTTGGGGTCACAGAGATGCTGATGTGGGTGATATTGCACCATCAGTTGTTCACTAGAACGGTGAGTCCCCCCACCTTTGCTCTTCCCGCTCCTGGTGTGGTCTCTGTCGGCATGAACGGTGTTAAAGACCTTGATGGAAACATCATCTGGAATATCGTGGTGCAGCAATGTCTCTGTGAAGCACATTAAGCTACATTCCTGGTACTTCCTCTGACTCCGGGCCAGCGCTGTCAATGAGACGAACAACATCTTATTCTCCAGTGACCTCACATTTCCCATGATGAGCGACGGAAGACGCGTTTCATTCCCTTTTCTGTGGTCTTCTGTTGTCTCAACCCATCCCCTTTTCTTTGTTTCATCTTTCCCCCTTTAGACCCCCGATGTGTTTTTCCCAGTATCTCAGTAGGGATATCAGCTGCTCTCTCTGTTAGGCCTGCTAGCAGCTCTATCAGCTGTTCTCAAGAGTAAACATTGCGAGCGTGGACTCGCTCCACAGTGGTAGCGAAGTAAAGTAACGATATCACAGCAAGCAGAAGTAGTAAAATATGAAGAAATAAATGGGAGCGTCTGCAAGGGCTGCTCTGAAGTTTGTCAGACCGTCCTGTGACAGCTGGCCCTGCTCGTTGTGTCTGTTTGGAAGGACAACCACAAAAAAAGTGACATGACATTGACATTATTCCAGTGATATTACCTCTTTTTCTCCAAATAATTTGCTAATTTAACATAGAAATAAGGTTATCCCAAGGAAAAGTGAAAGCTGGCTTTTGACAGCGCATCTTTTTTGATTCCAATGTAGATAAGTCAGTCAATTGAAATGAGCAGTTTCCATTTTTAGATGATGCACATCAGACTGAGAAGCAAACTAGTGAACATTTATTCAATGCTGGCTAAATAAAACAAAACATAAGACTAAACATAAAAAGCAAATCAAAATGTTTTATTCAGCATAATCACAGCTGCAAACAACTTTCGTAATATATTTTTGTGACAGTCACCATAAAACTAAAATGTAAGCCTAATATGAGAAACCGCACAACTTCTACTGATGCTTCAGCAATGGCCTATAATAGAGAATAAACTCAGCAATTGTTCAGGCTTGAAAAAGTTCAGTCTTTGCGACTGGATGTGAAGTTTTCTAGAAGATGTTTTTCCTCTTATCCAAGAGGGTTCTTCAGTTCCAACTAGTGGTGGGGAGCACTGAGATTAATGTAGTGTAGCTCTAACAAAGAATTAGGGGGAACAAAAGATCCCTCCCACTGGATTGGCCGAGGAGGGTCACACGGGAGTTGTTAATGGTTGGTAGGGGGTTATGATGGGTTGTTATAACTCCCTCTCAGACTGGTTTTCGTCATTCTTCATTTAAGTGTGAGGCATGTGTGAAGCTTTTTTTCAGCTTTCTGCCTTTTGTGTTACTACATTGTTGACCAGCTACGACATATTTGACTGGTTATTCATTAAAAGCGATACAGTTCTTCCTCTGTTATTTCTTACTTTATTCAGCTTATTTTATTCATCATTGTATTTAAAAAAAGTTTCTCGAACTTAAGTCATCATTTGCTATTTTATTTTTACTACTTAAATTTTGCACATCTAGCTTTATTTAAAAGGAACAAACAGCATTATATTAGTATACCAGGTTCTATTTCAAACCCTTAGCAGTTTTAAACCACTATGCTTTGAGTTATTGTCCTATAGTTTCTGTATTTAACATGCATAATAAAATGCATTAAGAAAAATATGTTTTTTAAGTTGGACCATAGTGTCAGTACTCTCTAATGCACCCTTGTAATCAATTCTCTATACTGATAAGCCCTACACTTAACGTTGCCTCAGTAGCTTTAAATAAATAAGGCCATGTCAAAAGCTATGGCTAAAGGCAGAGGCTCTGACATTTCTTCTACCTCATTTCAGTTCATGCAAGCCCCCTACTCTAATTTGTCAAAAAAAAAATGAAACACTTTAAAGTTTAATTAAAAACTTCTCTTAAACAGGGTTTTGTTAAAAATAGTATTTGAAATTCTTGTCTATTAAGCACATTTTGGCTAAAATTATCCTCAGATAACATAAATGATGATAACTTTTGATTGAAGCAGAAAAAATATGATTGAGGAGTTTTCTCATAGGATAGTTAGTTTGATATGATATAAATAGTTTTTATCCTAGGAATATCTATTTACATCAGCTCTAAAGTGTTTTTCTTCTGTTTTTTTTAGTATGGTTTTTTCAAGGATACATTTGGTTATTTTGAAGATGATTATAAAGGAAAGGGAGATTTTTTTTTGTATTATTTATTTTTGGAAATCAGCAAACAGAAAGAAATGTATTTCCTTAGGAATAACAATAAATCTCATTAACTTCTTTTTGTTTTTTCACATGCAGTATATTTCTTTCGAGGCAGCATTACTTTTCAGGCTATTGCTGTATGCTCTATTTATTACTAGCAAAAATCAGTAGCAGTAACACTAACTGAGCCATTTAGCACTACTTCTGTCCCTTTGGTTTATTTTAATCCTGATATAAAAATATATTTTGTGGGAGAACTTCTAAATTTAGTATGTACACATTAGCAATCTGACTTCCAGTTCTTGTCAACTTTTTTCCTTGCTTTTTTTCTTTGTAGCCCTTGTTTTGTATCTCAATGACAGATTTGTCTGGGCTGCTCAACCCGCTCTCCCATTCTAATTTTCCCTGAACCGTAAGTGAGTGTAAGAGAAGCTGACTGTGTGTGAGAGTGTCCTATAGGAGAAGGGATTGGCTGGTGTTATCCCCAGGGGCTTCACCCATTACATCTGTTTGGGGAACTTTCTGCATGTGTGCGGGTGATTGGCTCTGTCTGTTATAAGACACGAAGTAATGTCTGAGAGACCAATGAGGACCATAAAACAGAATGCTGCAGTTCTTAGAGCAGGACTGGCCTTCTAAAACTGAGGCATGCTCAAAATTTCTTGACGTACTTGCTATATGTCCCCCTGTGCCAGCGGGCTTCAGTGTGCTACTTATACAAAACGTACCCATAACTTCTCCAAAGTATGCCAGTGTTTTTGCCACATTTTTTGTACGTCAGGCATATGCTCCACTGCTGTGAAACTTATTTCCTTCTTAAGGCTGATGTATACTCAGAAACCAGGTAGTCTGCGTGTGTGTCACAGTTAACTCACCTCTCCAAAATTGTAGGTGACCGCAGACAGGAGGCCTCTGATTGGTCAAATCTACATCTGCTCTAGGCTTGTCCCGATCCGATACGTGGATCGGATCGGGACGCCGATATTGGCAAAAAAATGCTTATCGGCAAAGCATGTAAAATGCCGATCCAGACTGCCGATCCAGTTTTTTAAAAAAAATCCGGTCCGTATTTTCCAGTTTCGCAGATTGAAACGATCCATTCCACTATTTTGCGCCAGTGTTCCCCTGTTTTGCATTTTTATTAAAACTTACAGTAATACTTGCACCTTTAACTGTTTACGGTTTTACTGCTCACTGTGCAATTTCAGATTGCTATTCGTAATTTTGTCCAGTTTGTGTTTATCTCTTAATAAACAGGTAAGTTTGTTGTTACCAAGCATTGTGTTTTATTCAATCTCACCTAATTCAGCTGGCTAGATGTTATCAAGAGTACTAAAACCCTTTTCAACATGAGTCTTACAACTAAGGCTAAATACTTTAACTTAAACTTAAATACATGCTCGGATAGGCTGGTATCGGCCAGTATCGGTATCGGATCGGAAGTCCAAAAACAATATCGGTATCGGATCGGAAGTGCAAAAACCTGGATCGGGACATCTCTAATCTGCTCTACACTATACGTATTTCCCGGTTTGGTACCTTACCGGCTTGTTTTGTTTGTATGACCGCCATTGTGGAAAACGACTCGTGAAGATGGACCAGCTTGAAGAGCGAGGTGCGCGAGAACGCCGGGACACTTTTTCCACCTACACTGCAAAAAATATAAATCTCAATAAGTAATTTTTTCTTAAAATAAGTGTGTTTTTCCTTGATTTGAGGAGATAAGTAAGACACTTTGCCAATGGAACAAGACAATTTCCTTTTAAAATAAGAAAAAACTATTTTATCGTCTTATTTCAAGTAAATATTATCTAACTATCTTATTTTAAGAGTGAAAATACTCATTCCATTGGCAAATCATCTTATTTACCTGCTCAAATTAAGGCTAAATATACTTAATTTAAGCCATTTTTTACTTATTTCTGGATTGTTTTTGCAGTGTAGATCCCCACTCATTTTCGCCCTCATGTCTTTTATCTTTTAGTTGTCGCACAAACTCACCTCTTGCGTTTTTCCACTTCCTTATCGCCTCGGCTGTATCTAGACCCACAGCTAGTTCATGATTGTCGCTCTTGCGTTGTGGTGTGGAATAACATAGCGCAGACCACTCTTCAATATTGGGCATAAATCCAAAATATCTGCGATAAAGCTCACTGCGACACACTGCTACTGGAGAATAGCCTGACCTTTACAGGTTGATCTTTTCGCTTTATTGTCACACTAATATGGTCCAGATCATTAGTCTAAATGCAAAGTGGTTTTGTTTCCTTTTTAATGAAGCATCATTCGGGAATGAATTTCTTTTTACTCAGGTTGTGTCTGTTCTTAGTTGTTGTTCTGGTATAATTCTGTCATTGACATAAAGCTGTTCCTTGCTGCGTAAATCCCTATGCAGTTATTCATTGGTTTGTTTTTTTAGCAAACGGCAAGAAATGCACTGAAGAGGTTCCATGCTGACAATGAAGGTAAGATAATATCACAGCTGTACAAATTTCCATGTCTTTACAAAAACAAAAAGGTATTTTACTTCTGCATGTAAAAAAAGGTCAGAGTAAATTTCTGTTTTCCAATGGCTTAAAATCCCTTTTTTGTGTGAAGGGTTGACCACTGTCTTGAAGGATTCAGATTTTGAGCGTACTCCACCTGTTCTAACTCCAATGAAGCCTCTTAAACCTAGGGTAAGGAGATATCTCTATTTATACAAGTGCTTTGATATGAGTTTTTATTTACATTTAGGCTAAAAGTTACTGTCCTCAATAAACTGAGGTCATTTATTTATGTTTTTAAGGTAAAAAATGAACCATGGGGTCTGGGCCCGAGTAATGTAGGTAAGTTTCTTTTGTTTTTTGTCAGAAACATTTCAACAGACCAAACTGTTAGTACTGCTTGAGTATATTGTTTGACCTTCAGACAAACCCACTCCTGCCAGATAAATACTTGGTTCTTCTGACATCCACATTGTTGTTGACCTGTTTTTAAATGCCACATCCATGCTTTTACCCATGTGTTATATATTCCTATATATAGATTTTCCAACCATTAATTATATTAGCAGTAGTAAATTCAGTTCGTCAAACCAGTTGGCCGATGAATCCTTGCTGTATGTTGCTATCCTTTCCTGACCCTTCTTCTGATTTGTCTGATCTGCACCAAACTTTGACGGCTGCTGTGGCAGATCCACATGTGAAGAAGGCGCCTCCATGTCTTACACCCTTCGACTCTTCAGAAACTCCGGTAAGAATGGAGTTTAACACATTGACTCTTTTATATAAAAATTCAAAACCATTTTGACAATACTGTATGATTGTCAGATATGGGTTTTAATATTTACATTCAATCTTTTTTGGGATGAAAGAGGCTAAAATGCTATCTGTGATTACTGTTGCATTTAGGCCATCTTGCTTGTCTGATAAATTTGTTTCAGGGTCATTTATACACAATCTGCTTTAATTATTTGCAGAAAACAAACACTGATTGCAAAACTTGATCTGCGTTGTGAATTTTCCTCGTATTTACAGAGTGAAAATGATGTACACAGGCTCATATATGTAATATGTATACATAAATCCTTAAGTCTTACTTGTTCATTTCTTCTTGATAGGTATCAGAAGTATAACAGCCTTTAAAGGCCAAGTCTTTCCCACTGGCCAAAAAAAGCATTTAAACCCGGAAACAAACAGCTTTTAGTGGCAGTAGTGACAGATTACTGACGCGTGTCTACCTGGGTCAAAATACTCGTGGTAAAATCACCTCAGCTCTGATCAGCATGCTTTGGGAACACCAGACGCGGATTGACCCGCTAATTTACCATATGGTAAATTACCAATTTACCAAATTTTAAATTAACCATACGGTAAATTTACCATATGGTAAATTAGCGGGTCGACATATGATACCGTTAAACTTAACGTACAGACATGAACACATCACGACAGTCTCTTCTGATCTAACAAGTCCAAACAACTCTGTTTACATCCGATAAACATGGCAAAGCACTGGAGAGAGGGATTCAGAGGGACTAGAGAGAGAAACAGTAAAGAACACTGACTACGCCCTGGCTCACTTTCATGTTGCTCTCCACTATTCGCTTTCCTAATTTCTGTTGCACTAGTGACAGCATCATCCTCATCTTTCAGCTGCTCAATGTTAAAGCTAAAGGTTGTCTTTTCCCCTCATTATTTCATCTACTGCCTGTGGCAATCAGTGAAAGAAAACTCTGAGCGTAAGGCTCCTGTGAAGAAAAGCTCTGTGTTTAAACCTTGAAGCTTTCTCTCCAGCTCTGTTGCTGAGAAGAGATCCCTCAGGACAAACGCTTTAAACAGGTTGCTGTTGTTTTTCTTCTTTTAATCTTTTTGCTTTTTTTCCCTTGATTTGTCAGATTCAGAAACCTGCTATCACTGTAAAAAAAGAGCCTAAAAAATTCCTGGAAAAGGACAACGATGATCGGAAGCTAAAACATGCTGAGGGGCCAGTGGCTAAAATCTCAAAAAATGAAGAATCATCTCCTGTTGATTGTAGCGGTCCTGGGCTCCAAAAGAATGAAGGCGGAAATCAGATGAAGAATGGAGAGGTAATACAGATGCTGCACAGATGCAAGGAAGGGACCTTTTACCCAATCTGTAACATCACTTTGATTTTCCTCTCAATAGGATATGTTCTTCTATCCACCTCTTCCCACCATGCCTTTCCCGTCCTCCCTGAACATGGAAGCAGCATCATACAGTTTACCTCAGAAAGTAGTCGTAAATTTGGCCTTTATTAGGAACCCAACCAGGATATCTGTTCTCTGGAACATTGAGGATAAAGACCCCTTGGCCCCACCTATGGAAAGTTACACGTAAGAGACAACACTCAATAAATAATACTTGAGAAAAAGTAGTTGGGACCAGTATAATGTAGTGAAAATAAATGAAGACAATGAGTTTAATATAATCTGTTTACTCTTTTCATGCGGCAGCATCCTCCTGACGATGGAGACCTTTAAAGGGAGCGGCGTCTTCCTCAAATGGGATACTTACGATAAACTGGAGGCCAAGGATCTGCCCATGTGTGCTTTGATTAATAAGTACAGGCGTGGACACAGGTTATGTGCTGCTGTAGTGGGCAAAGACATATTTGGTCGGTATGGACCCTATAGTAAAGTTGCTACAGCCATCCTGCCGGACTAATTCAAAAAAATGATATAATGCAGATCACAGATTTTTTATATGTTATCCTAATATCTCAGTGTTAAAATAAAAACATGTAATTGGACTATTACACCTGTTCTAGGAGACACAAACAATGTTATTAAAGGTGTAAAGGTTCTATGTTTACTGTTTCCCTGAATTGAAACTACATAGGCAGTGTTTAAAAGCAAATTGTTTTTAACAGAATGTTATGTAGGTTTTGTTGAAACCTGTTTTTTTGTTGTTGTTGTTTTTAATTGTGCGTCAGATACCATATTACAAGTGTTTTAACGTGTTAAATGTAAATTAATAAAATGGCTTTTACAACACACTTGGTTAAATTATTATCCTTTTTTTTTGGACTGGCTTCAGTTTTTCTATTAACTCTTAGGTTTGTAAAAGCACTTTGACAGTCAAGTCAAGTCAGCTTTTATTGTCACTTTCTTCATATGTACAAGACATACAAGGGAAATGAAATTATGTTTACTCTCTAGAAATATACAAATATACAAGAAATATACAAGACTGACTTTTAAAAACTGACAAAGTGCTGGACATGACAGGTAACAGTGATAAGATAAATATAAATATCAAGTATAGACATTACAATAAAAGCAATAAAACAGCAGCAATAGTGTATTCCAGGCTGAGGTAGTGCAGGTAAGGTACAGTGTATGTGTGTACTCTGGTACATGGTGTGTGTGTGTGTGCAGTCTTAGCTTCCTGTCTGCCTGGTGGCTGGAGCAGACTGTGTGGGGAGGGTGATTTGATGTATGCAAACAATAATTTGAATACAGTAAAATCAGTAGGGATTTTTTTCATGTGTTTAAAAAAAATTGGACGATGCAAACAGTAAATAAAAGGATGCTTATGTTCCCATTTTATCCCAGTTAGAATATTTGCATTTCCCCTTTTCCGCACTAATCGTCATTTGAAAAAACAGCAACTGCTTTGTTTACTCATGTTTGCCGTCAGCACTTTGTGAGTCTTCGGGCTTGTTGCTATACTTTTAAACTTGACATGTTATCTGTTAACCTTAAATACCTCTTAGCTATAGATTGGTAAATGCACTTTTAAAATGCATTTACATAAAAAATGGGAGTCAACTTGTAATTTTAAAAGTGAATGTTCTTGCTTCCTCCTGTCATATCTTGGATGTGCAAGGCACCTAATTAAAGTTCATCTGTGGGAACCTGCTGTTGATTGGATGAACACAGCATCAGTCTATTCCTTGAGAAGCTCCCCCAAATTCTTAAATTTTGATTAACACTATTCTGAAGGCTGTGATTTCTCTGTTGCTGGTGCACCTTCTCCTAGCATACACTTTTCTTCATCATACATCTCCCTTAATATGCTTTGATACTGCAACTTACTTCCTTTTCAAAGACTTTTTGGAGCTCAAACTCAAGCTGCTAGATCAGTAGACTTCCCCATGATTGTGCCTCTGACCCTGATTAGTATACATGCCGATAGAAGCCATATTTATCAATATGACAAGCTATAATAGCTTGAAATACATAATTCAATGTGTGATCAAAATCTATGCATTATGGATTTTTGTCCTTAAAATAAGAGTAATACCACAACAAATATTAAACATCTAACATTTTTTAGATGTTGCTGTAGTTTAGCTTATTGCTGAGTTATTTTAGCCCAAATCTAAATTCTAGTCCTGCATATGTTAGGCTTCCACCTGGTTTAACAAATGTGAATCAAAATTATTTCTTATGAGATCTCTGCAAAATTTGATAAGTTGAACGATGCAAACGGTAAATAAAAGGATGCTTATGTTCCCATTTTATCCTGGTTAGATTATTTGCATTTCCCCTTTTCCGCACTAATCCTCATTTGAAAAAACAGCAACTGTTTTGTTTACTCATGTTTGCCGTCAGCACTTTTTGAGTCTTCAGGCTTGTTGCTATACTTTTAAACTTGATATGTTACCTGTTCCCCTTAAATACCTCTTAGCTGTAGATTGGTAAAAGTACTTTGAAAATGCATTACATAGAAAAAGGGGTCATCTTTTAATTTCAAAAGTGAATTTTTGTTCTTGCTTCCTCCTGTCATATATAGGATGTGCAAGGCACTTACTCCCAAATTGCCCTTTGATTTATGTATAAGTTTGCACATTTTGCTGTAGTGCTTTTTATTTTATAGACCAACAAAACATGCATTGTAACTGAAATGGAAGGAAGCGTATATGAAGTTTTATTTATTTTTTTCATATTAATATTTAAAGTTAGCCATACAAGTATCTATCCACCGACCTGATGAACCCAACTCTATGTACCTGCAGGGTTGGTTTATGAACACATATCTCCACATAACTGGAAAGGCTTAAAGGTGGGTGAACAAGAAGTCAAGGAGCTGAAGAAAACCTTTATCGAAAAAGTAATTAAATTCCCGGTTGCATTTTCTTCGAAGACATGTAGATTTTACAAACTGTTATAGAAGGATATTAGTGAGCTTTGTACGTATATGAAGAAACATGATTGTGTAGTTAAATCCTTATAAGATATAGGGTGACCTGCTGAATTGCTGTTATTGCTGTGTTTGGAAATGTGCTGACAGAAGCAGCTTTTAGCTATGTTGATGGAAACCCAGTTCAAGCCCCATTCTGAGGTTCAGTTGTTTGATACAAGTAGATGACAGAAAACTGTTATCTAAAAGAAAACTGTTATCTTTTGGGGAGGTAGGGAGAGTCTTTTGCATCAGTGTGGTGTAGCATGAAGGCCATCAGTCTGTGTCTGCTTTGCAGTAACAGAAGCCAGAATGGCCTTAATATTTGTGCATTAATCTGCATTATTTGTCTCTTGTCTGCTTTTTGTCAGTAGGTAAGGGTAGTTTGCTGGCCAATTAAGCACAGTAATACTTTAGTAATTAAACCCCACCTTTGATACCTTGTGTGTCTTTGATACCTTTGGCAATAGACATGTCCCAAGTCCTACTCAGGAGGATGATCCATGAAGTACCCAAAAACTTCCATGGGAACTATGAAATCATTTTCAAGTAATGCAAACTCTAATTTGAGACGTTGAACCATCAAGCAACAGTCTAGTTCTGTTTATCCTCAGCCCAAGTGAGATCCTTCTAGCCAATATGTCGAGTTCATCTGTGGGAACCTGCTGTTGATGGGGTAAACACAGCATAGTCTATTCCTTGAGAAGCTCCCCTAAATTCTTGAATTTTGATTAACACTTCTCTGAAGGCTTTGATTTCTCTGTTGCTGGTGCACCTTCCCCTAGCATACCCTTTTCTTAATCTTACATATCCATGAATATGCTTTGATAATGCAACTTACTTCCTTTTTAAAGACTTTTTGGAGCTCAAGAAGCTGCTAGATCAGTAGACTTTCCCATGAGTGTGCCTCTGACCCTGATTAGTATACATGCCGATAGAAGCCATATTTATCAGTATGACAAGCTATAATAGCTTGAAATACATTACTCAATGTGTGATTAAAATCTATGCGTTATGGATTTCTGTCCTTAAACTAAATATCACAACAAATAAAAAACATTTAACATTTTTAGATGTTGCTGTAGTTTAGATTATAGCTGAGTTATTTTAGCCCACATCTAAATTCTAGTCCCAGCACGGTTCCTTGCCCCCTAGTGATGGTCTACAGTACTACTAGAGAGAGAATCAAGATGGTCTAGAGAGAATCAAGCAACTCAACATCCTCTCGCTTGCAACATTGAGGTAGTTTGGTTAAAATTGTGATATTTTTTGCGTAGAGACCAGCGAAGATGGCAGCCTTTGGTGTATTCAATTGACAGAGTCAGCTTTTGGGAAGTGGAAATGACAAACAATAGTCTAATCAGGGCTTACAGACACAGGAAACAACAACAGATGTTGAGGTCCATCTATCTCGGCTTGGTTTCAAAAGGGTAGTGTGAATGGGGCTACTGTTGAGGGGATACAGCTCTGCTCTGAGCCTCTCCCCGAGGGCAGAGCGCCATACCCTATCACTAAAGGATTGCCCGTACAAGGGTAGAAATTAGGACCTATACGTCTAATAATCTCCCATTCCATTCTTCCCTCACCTGTGAACAGGACCCCAAGATAGTTGAACTCCCCCAACCGAGGCAAGAACTGTCCTCCATCCTGAAATGAGCGAGCCACCTTTTTCCAGTTAAGAACCATCACTTTGGACTTTGACTAGCTGATCCTCATTGTGACTGCTTTGCACTGAGCTGCAAATTGCTCAAGCACATGCTGTAGGTCTTCATATGGTGGGAAACCTCTACCTTACTCTGCCAATCCAGGCCACCACAAGTTGTCGTAGAGGCACATAAGCCATGTCAGCTTAACAACATCCAAATACCTAAGGTATTAAAGGCAAGTCTCATCCAACTCTGAAGTCTTGAGATTGTGGAGTTTTTTTGAACACCTTGATGATTTCTGCCTGGGTGATGAACAAGTCCAACTCCGAGCACCCATTCCCTGTTCCTCCATTTAAATGATAAAGATGACAATGATAACAGATGTTACACAGATCTCACTTTAAACAAAAAGCAACCTATATTGGAAAATCAACTGTCACAGTTTGGGTTCTGTTTAAAGGGAACACCATTTTTTTCCACATTGGCCCCTTGATTTTACATTATTACATAATGTTCTACTCACCCATATGAGTTTTGTGTCATTTGGAGCCGTTCTGAAGATATTCCGTTATATCCAAGTAACGTCTTCCTATGGGCAACGAGTTGAAGGCACAAACTAAACTGTTCATAATATATCATTTATGGTACGCCAGCATTCATAACATGTAGGCGAATCACTGTCCCCCAGACATCCACGGCTATATCTTTTATATTTATATCTTTTAAAAACGAAGCAGCGCGTGCATGAGGTCATCCACGCGTGCCGGCTACCGCTCATTCTTCCTGACATGCCTGGAAGATGTCTAGTGCTACTACCACAGATGATCTCACTTTCAAAATGGAATTGAATGATTCAGATTAGTCAGCTGGATGAATAGAAGGGGTACAGCGTAGCCGCCTGTGGCCCAGGCTGCCTGTCACAACTCCAGTCCGGCGCACGGATGAGGTCATACATGCGCCGTTTTGTTTTTAAAAGATATAAATATAAATAATATAACTACTGATGTCTGGGGGACAGTGATTCGCCTACATGTTATGAATGCTGGCGTACAATAAATAATAAATTATGAACAGTTTAGTTTGTGCCTTCAAGTCGTTTGCCCATAGGAAGATGTTACTTGATTATAACCTAATGGAATATCTTCAGAACAGCTCCAAATTACACAAAACTCATGAGGGTGAGTAGAACATGATGTAATAATGTAAAATCAAGGGCCCAATATAAAAAAAACGGTG